TGGGACCCCACCGGCCCCTGTGCCCGCCTCAGCCGCTGTCCAACGGGCCCATGGGCCCTGGGACACATGGACACTCAGACTCCCTCCCTGTGGGTAGTAACAGTAGTAGTAATAATCAGTCAGGGCCCACGGCCACAGGACCCAACGGAGACGTGCCTTACCTGCAAGCTGCCGGCAGCGGCGACGCAGCACTGCTACCTCACACCTGCACAAGCACGCAAACACAGGACGCCACGCCGCGCCAGGCCCTGCACCTAAACTCCTCTCAGGTTAGACGTCACTCACTGTTCATCTCTCTTCAGGGACAGACATCCTCTCTCTTTCTAGAAATTAAAACTCCCTCTGGCAAATACTCCTAGCTCAGCTAAGAAATGGATATAATTCTGTTTTATCCTACTGACCCACTTGGCTCTGTTGTAAAAAACTGTCAAAAACCATTAAGAAAATCCTTCAACTGGTTTCATGAAAGAAGCTGCGAGATCCCTCCCGTCAGACTGGTGTAAATTAAAGTATGCAAGAATTTTTTACACACATCAGCAACGCCTGAAGCTGAGCCAAAAGATGTACGTAACATGTATAAAAATAGAAAAGGGTTGGGCTCACAACTCGTTTAATGCTCCTGTTTATTGTGTTCCATCGTCATTAGGTATAAACCTGGCGAAATGTTGCCTTCACTTTCTTCTTCTACTGTATAACCGTTGCTCTCTTCATCCTCCAGGGGCTTCAGAAAGGGTCTGTTCCACATGCGACGGGCTCCAGTAGTGAGGGGACCCTCTCTCACCCCCAGACCCCCAACTCCACCGCCCCTGCGCACCCCAACAATCAGGTTGGACATTCCACTAACGCCCCATCGCCACGGCAGCAGGCTCACAACCACCTCCCATCCCCTCCCTCCCTGCCTACCTCAGGTGGAGCAGCACCCGGTGCGTCCGCTACCAAAGATAGCAACACCGCAGCCGCGCTCGTCACGGCAGCCACATCCCTCGGCAACGGGGGCTCAGAGGGCAAGACGCCATCGCCGCTGCCATCAGCCGATGGCAAAACGCCGCAGGCAGATGGCCTGGCCAATCACGTTCACTCGGGGGATGGTGGCAAGGTGGCAGAAGGCGACGAGAAGCCGAGCCTTAGCGCAGACAATCCTAGACTATCTGCCCTGCTGGCAGGGGGGAAGGGCCCCGAGGAGGGTGAGGGACCGTCAGAAGGGACAGCATCCACAGGATCCACCACGCCCGAGTCCCACAAGAAAATCAACAACATCCACCCGGCCGTCCTGCCCTCCACCCCCCACGCGCAAGGCAGCTCTGCCGCCTCTTCGCCCATCTCTGCCATGTCCACCGCCACACCCTCACCCAAATCCTCAGAGCACACCCAAACAGGCGCCCACAGTCCCGCCGCCACCACCACAACCACCGCCGCCACCGCCACCACAACCACGTCTGCTGCACCTGCCGTGAACGGCAACGGCAAAGGAGGTATCTCCGAGGACTCTCAAAGCCCACTGAAGGCTGAGCCGCCCGCCGTCATCAGTCTCAAAGCTACGCCTCCGCATGGACACAGCTCCTCTTCCTCATCGTCGTCATCTTCAATATCCATCTACCCAAGCTCCACAGACGTGCTGAAGGCCTGCAGGTGAGACGTTTTCTTTTCTCTGCAGGTTAACTCCACCTGGCAGGAAGGGCGGTCTTGCCAGGGAAATTACAGAAAGCAAGATCACACATAGCAAGA